AGATTTATATATGAAATTTTTAAAACCGTGTTATATCAAAATCGTGTGAAAACAAAATTAGGTGTAGTTTTTATTGAGGTTTTCTTATTTTTATACCCTGTACCCGTAGGGTGCATCTCCGACCCCATAAAGTATATATCCTGAATCAGCATGACGAGAGAAATCGATCTAGACATGTCCGTCCGTCCGTCCGTCTGTCCGTCCGTCTGTCCGTCCGTCCGTCTGTCCGTCTGGATGAACGCAAGGATTTCAGAAACTATAAAAGCTAGAATAACCAAAGTTGGCATCCAGATTCTCCTAGGTCCGAGAAAGGACGAGTTTATTCTATTTTTTGGAATTCCCCCCCTTCCCCCGCTACAGAATATCGTCAATGGCGTCCACATTTCAAATGCTACCTAAATCAAACTTTGCACACATAGTTTATATATAATTGTCTACTGCTGTTTAAAATTTTATTCAATTCGGTCAATTCTAAGAAAAGTTGTTAGCGAAACAAATTCTCGGTAGTACAACTCCACCAAACTGCAGCAAAAGTTCGCTCTTCTTCTTCCTCTTTTTACTGCTGCTTTGGGCGCATATAACTCAGTGATGGAAGTTTACCTGGGTACAGGGTATTACACTGTCGGGCTTGCTCGACTGTAGCGTTCTCTCTTGTTTTAAGTTTAAATTATAACTTAAAACTAGTAAACTGTATTTTTTTTTTAATAGCAGAGTGTATTTTATTTAAAACTGTCCATCGTGGACAATCATTAAATAGGTTAAATAAACATGACAATTTAATATTTCATTTATTATGTGGTTGTAATATCCCGCTTGTCCTTGGGGAGGTCCAGAGGATGGGTCCTGAACAGCCTCCTGGGCCGTTCGCTGTTGTTCAACAATATTTATTGATATATTAAATAAAAAAAATGTATTATTTATAGAAATTGCTAGTTGTTCTGTAACACCTTAAAAACCCGTCGGCGTAGCAGCTTCGACTGTAAGTCCACATTTGTGAATATCTTATGAGGCTGTTGTGTGTTTCATTACTTATGACGTTTAGTGTAAAATATGCGCGTTTGGAATAGCTTGGTTCCACTCACGCGATCTCGCATTCACTCAATGTCGCTGCTGTCCCGCCCACTTTCGGTTTGGTGTTCCGCTTCCTGCAGCCTGTGGCAGCTTAGCACGAGCGCATTTATTATTAATGCCAGGCAATAGCGTCGACACATGCAGCATTGGTGCTGCTATTGCGCCTAAAAGCCTGCTACTGTTTATTTGCTGATTTTGCTTTTTGTTCGGTTAGCAAGTTACACAGTTATTCACTCGCTTGCCCGCTTATTTGCTGAGCCTTTGTTTGTCGGCATGCCTGCATGCCTGCCTATAGGCTTTCCAGCACTCTTTCCTTCTTTGCTTCCATTCGACGCTAGTGTTATCCATTTTAAGTATTTTTCTGTGTGCTGTGTCGGCCTTTGACTTATTACGATTTATTTATTTATGTTTTGTGCGTCGGTGGCCATATATTATTTATTGCCTCGACTTGTCATTTGCTACTCGACACTCTGCTAATCATGACTGATTATTTGTGGATTATGGGCAACACAAGAGTTTCCATAGTGTTGCCCTTTAAATTAGGTTGAACCTGCACTAGAGACTGACTATGACTTTGACTTCGACTCGTGTCTTATAATTTGCGCATCGTTCGCGCTGCAAGTATGTCTGAGTTGCTATTAAAAGTTGCAGCAACTTGAACAGTTTCTGATGCCTGCACAGGATCTTAATTGGGACTTTGCCACATTTTGCTGTTATACAAGATGGTGTGACCCGCCAAAAACTCCCTCTGCCTTCAACAAATGTTCGTGGCTGAGTGTGGAATATGAAACTGCACTGCAAAGTTGATTATCCTTGGTTGCTTGGCTTTCCCTGCTGGCTTTTCGCCTGCTTCCAGCTATAACTTGCTGTTAAATTAAAACTTTTTCGCCTGCCATTCGTAAATATTTACGATGAAATTGAGCTGTTAATGCCAATGCTATACTATTTTTATTCACTGTTGATACAGAAAACACATGACAGCGTTAAATGTTCAATGTCTCTCCCTAAAGGAAAGAATTTGACACCCATTTTAATTTAAAAGAAATACACACACACGCACACCTTATAATAAAGTCCGAGAGACGTTCGAATAGCTCAGATTTTTTTTAAAGTATACTGCTTTAACACGAAATTGTTTTTAAGATTAAATTATTGGTTGAAAAGTTAAAAAAATGTGAGAGAGCCACAAGTTTTAAAACACATGGCGTATGCGTAACTTTTACAAATTTAAAGAAAACGCTCCAATTTGTATTTGCCTGTTGTTTATTGCTTTCTTTCTTTTTTTGAGTCTACACAACAAATTATCCTATGTTTGGTTATCGCTGGTAGTCTCTTGAATCCCGAGCATTATAGGAAATTTATTCCAATTGTATATAAGAAAAACAAAATTTGTTTCACCTAAATGTTTATTTCAATATTTCATTTCACAGAAGATTGCATCTTGCGTCGTGCTTAAAGGTGTTTAAAAATTAATTTATCTTCATTCCTATATATCTTCAGCAACTCTCGATTGTCTGACCAAATTTTTCAACGTCTCCAAAATAATAACACGGAATTGACATTTTGGCAAAATGCATTTTTTTTATTCAAAAATATCATCAATTCTTATTCTTTTTTTTAATGTTTTTTCAAAATGATATTTTATATTTTCGATATGATATTTTATTTGATATTTTTCCCAAAATTAGTATCGGAATTTTCTTAATAGTTATATTATTTTTAACTAGTTTAAGCTGCTGGTTTAATAAATTGTATATACATTTATAAAAAAAAACACTCGCTTACTCGTTTTTTCGTTGTTCTTGTAGCCACAGAAATAAATACTTGAATATATATTTTGTAATTATTTCTTCTATATAATAATATCTAAATATATATCGTTTGTATTAAAAATATATACATACATAAGTATTGTGTAATTTTTAAACATTTTTAAACTCTTCAGTTAAATAATATCTAAATATACATATATCGTTTGTATTAAAAATATACTTACCGAAGCCAAGCCCAACAGGACGCAAATATTGTTGTTCTTCCAGAAAATATAATCAAGAGATAATATTTCACAAGCACAAGCATACTCGTATTACGAAAATTGTTTTCTTTGAAGCTTCGCAAACAATTTCAGTAAGTTACTTTACTCGAGCGGAGAATTTTAGCCTCATATTACCAGTTTGTTTGTTGTGTGTTTGTCGGTTTTCATTAATTTCCATGCGCGAAATGGTGTCCTTTGCCATTCGAAGGCCCAACGTCAATGTTAACTGTCTAATGCTTACATTTTTGGGCTGCCATTGACGAAAAGTATTGGAACGCCCAGAAAAATGTCGGAAATTGACTAATATTGGGGTTAATCGGCATAACAATCATTTGTAGACAAGGTAATTGACTGTTAAACGTTGCTGCAACAGCCAATAAACGCAGACAGATACAGGCTCAGGGACATGGACGTACATAGTAATTGAATGCCTAAGTTGGCTTCCTTTAATGCACGACGGGTGACAGGCATACTTGTAGAGCTCATTGCTTGTAGAGGATATGGTTGTGTGTGTGTGTGTTTGTGAGTTATTTACACATCATATCAAAGACATTGATTGCCCAGCTGGTGAGAGTGGCGGACTAATGACACTTATTAGTTGCAATTTGTATAAATAAAATATTCATTACCTTAACGCACACATAAGAGAACCCAACAGAGATAGCTGGGCTTAAAGCTGGACGCAATTTAAAGAGGAAATACCTATATATGTATATGTAAGCATTAATAGGTGAGCAGACAGAGCGGATTGGAGCGGCACGCGCTTTAAGCGACATCACGTATAAATGATATGAAAACAGCAAACTAAAGAACACAGAGGCGCCTCGGCACAATACTCAAACGAGCAATTTAGCCAACTCATTGAAGCGGAATTAATTGCAATCGATTTTGTTGTTGGCGGATAGCCAGTCAGCCAGTCAGCCCGTCAGCCAGTCCGTCGCTCTTCATTAGTCTTGTGTGTTCGGTGTTGGTTATTGGGTCTGAGGCCAATAGGATATGTGTACGAGTTTGTCCGTGCATTGCTTTTTATGTTCGCATTGATGCCAATGAAGCGATTGCCACTTTCTATGCTCGTGCGTGTGTGTGTGTGTGTGCGTCTTTTGTTTGCCTTTTGTACGCTATTAAAGCGCGTATGGCTGGATTCAATGAATTAAAGTGACTTTGTTGCTGTATGCTAGGCACAGTATGGACCTGATTTCAGGAAGAAGAAAAGTTACGCATTTTGCATAAAATTTATTGTGCGAGCTTTCGCACCTACATCTCGTCACTCTTGTCAGCCACATACTATACACACACACACATACATATATAATACACATTCAATCAAAAATGCAGTCAACTGTTAACAGTCTTCCTTATGGGTTGGGGAATTCAGCAATATAGGTAGAGTAGGGTGTTCACACATAAAAAGTAATTGTGATCATACAGAAGCAATCGAGCAACTTTTCTAAAAACTTCCACACACACACACACACACACACAAATAAATGTAGTCAAAGTTTTTACATAAATTTGCTGAGCCAGCAAGCGCACCCAACACAAAAATAAATAAATATATAAACCTGCCTGCTTTATATGCCATAAATACATTTGCTCCTTTCAATTTATTTACAGTGTTGACGGCATCCGAAAAGAGTGCGGGAGTTCAGGAATTTAATAAAAATCGGCTGTGGCCAGCCTTAAAAAATGTTGGCACAGCAATGCACGGGTCACGGGATTGGCTACGGAATGGCCCAGCAAATGCGCGCCACTCCGAATTGAATTGAGGCTGCCCCAAGCACACACACACACACACACACACATATACACAGAAACCACAAACACAAATGTCGCACTCACTCATACAAATATATCTCTAGTATAGTATACTATATACATATATATTTATCTATAGAACATGTGCCAAAGCAAGGAGTTTTGTGTAGCAGCTAAGTTCAACATAATACCAACAAGAGCAGCAAATACAACGACAAGGACGAAAGCAAAGTCTATGAATTCAATCCCAGCTGATTTTAGCAAAATACAATAAACAAAAGGCAACCGCAGGAATAACAGCAATCACAACAGCCCACAGTTACACGCACTCATATACATATACCCTACACCCACACTTACGCACAGCGACCACGGACTGCAACAACAATAACAACACACATGCACACAAACGCAGAGTGGACGGAAAGCAATAAGCTCCTTTAACCGAGTTGTTAACATAAAAAACAGAAACCACAAACACGGTCAGCGCTGTAAAAAAAAGAGACACACAGAGACACAAAGGGGCAGAGAAACCAACCAACATTATAGCAGGATCTCGTCGCAGTTCTCAGAAGCATTATGGCCGCTCCTGTTGACGAGAGCGTTTTGAACGCCCTGCGAGGCGTAACGACCGCCCAAACGCGTCTGCCCAAGCCACTGATCATTAAGATCTATGTGGCCAGTCTGAAGCAAGGTAAGTGCCAAGCGCAATCAAAAAACCCATATTTCTTAACAATGCAGAAACTTATTTTCCTCACACAATCAGCCACATGGCCTTGTTTTAAATTTAATTATAAATATTCCATATAAGTATAATCGTTATAGTATAGTAGCAAGTATATTAAATAAATAACTTCAGAAGAAATTAAGCACATTAAATATACGTTCTAAGCATTTCTTGACATTATCGACGTGCTTTGAATATTAAATAAATAACTTCAAAATAAATTAAGCAAATTAAATATAAGTTATTAACATTTCATTTCTCCATTCTTCCATTTATACCCAGTCCCAGAGGAGTAAAGGCGTATACTATTTTGATAGTCTAAACTCTATGGAACAAAGGCTATGTTATAGCTGTATGATCATCAAGAGCAGACCTTTGAAGCCCTTTTAGCTCAGGGTCACCAAACATAGACTGGTCTTATCCATACGCAGGGCGGGTCATTTCCAAACCATATATACCCAACTTTCATAAATAAACAGACAGATTGAAAGGCTTGTAAATTTACCTAAATGCAATTAGTTCAACTATTTTTGCTAGTGAATGAGAAGCACAGGCTACCAGTAAATACCAGTAAATGTAAATTTAATCAAATTGCAGAAATATACAAACATATTTGGTTCAAAGCTTTTCATATTTAATAAAATTCGCCCGTATTTTAATTTTGTATCAACAACAAAAAGGTGATGGATACTTGATGTGTTTCCCTCACTTTTATAAAAAGGCTGATATTTAAACGGGCAGAATTTTTGCACTCAAAGTTTTGTTTTTCCAGCTTATTATGTTTACTATAATTACACAGATATATAGCAGACTCATTTTATATAAACAATAAAAATTAATTGTTGCAATTTAAGCATCACATGAATATAACTTGCGCTACATTACAATGATGTGTAAATAATTTCATTGGACATTAACTTTTCCCATTTGAAATGTTTGTGGAACAATTTTTAATTAAGTTGACGTTTTAATAATAACAGAGAGTGTGAAACAATGCTATGAGTTACTAAGAAGGAGTGAAATTTATTTTGGATATTATCATTTTAAAATTTTTTGTTCGTTTTTACCTTAATATTTAAAGTGACATTGTTCCGAGGATGATTATGAACTGACAGCATGCTATTCAGGAGTTTTTAAGGCAATTTTTTTACACCTTTGGTTATATTATTGGCGTTTTAGTAAGGATTCCATTCTTTTTTGCAAATACAATATAGCCCATGTTCACCGTCGATAGTGTAGCTTCCCAACAGTGAAAGAATCCATTAAATCGGTCCAGTAGATTCGGAGCCTTTTCAATTCAAACAAACAAACATACAAACAAACAAACAATCAAATCTTTCCTCTTTATAATATTAGTATAGATTAGATTCAAGTAGTTATTGACAATAGGGGTATTTTTATGATTCATATACTGCGAGTATATAAAAAAAAACTTTTCAGATCATTTAATTTTAACATTTTGTTACTCTTTCCTTTCAGAGTTCAACCAGGAGCGTCGCATGTTGCTCGAACTGGTGGGTCCCGAGTTGCAGACACTCTACGATGATCGCCAAATAGAGGTAAGCTTGGTTCAACCTGCTGCAACAGTATTGGACAATATCCTCTGCCCTGCAGTTGGAAATCGTAGACATGCACTTTGGTACCGGCCCTCTGGATGTGACCCAGGTGGAACGTGATCCGTATATGCTGCAGGACTATTTGCACGAGATCGACACCTGTCATGCACACTCGAAGAGCGTCTTCTTTCTGGCCCTCATTGGTGACTCCATCGGGCGTCTTCCGCTGCCCACGCATATTGATGAGGACATTTATGCGGCGCTGCTGGCCGAACACATCACAAACGCCGATGAAGTGGCATTGCTGGCCCGTTGGTACACAAAGGATGACAAGGCAGCACAACATGTACTCAAACAGGATTATCGGTGAGTGAACACTAATACGGCGAGCATGCGGGCATAGTGCGAGTCCGTGGAAGGCTGAGGCAGGCATCAGAGCAACAACACCTACCATCGCGACGATAAATGCCCATTAAGCGCATTATTAGTGGTTGCACACGCTTATGTATGCCACTCGGCCCCGCCGAGTATGCAACGAAATTTTTCAAACCTCATGGCAAGTGACAATTATTGCTCTCATTGCCAACATTCAATTGTGCTTGCTTTTGCTATTTGGCCACGGCCAATATTTACATAACTCGGTCAGCAGAGCTAAGCAAACAACAACTTTAAGTACAACAGCCGTAAGCGACTGAAATAAAGTTTACATACTTGTAAGTGGGAAAATGGTTCTATGGGCGATCAATGGCCACAAAAATTGAAATGTCTGCATTAGCACACGCTTAAGATAGCCTGAAAGAAACAACGTGTCTTCATAACCTTGTAGAATATACTCCTTCAGAAACAGCTCGTTAAATAAATTCAGCATTCAAAGAAGTGAGTAATATAAGTAGTTTCCAAACTATTCCAGAACTAGTGCGGCAATAATAACATAAAAAACTAAAAACTAAAAAAAAAAAAATAAAATCGTTTATACCTATATGAAAAAATGCAAAATTATAAGCAGCGACTGCTGAAAGGTAAAAAACTAATTGCATTTTTGTAATTGTGCAAGATTGTAAATAAATATGTTATAGAAAATATACACAATTAAATACTTAGGCTCATAGTTCAATTGGCGGACAACCGATACAGAAAAGTTATACAAAAGGGTTAGTTAAACAACATAAGGATAGGATTTAATTATAGGATAGGATTTTAGATTTCCAGCTATCTTAATTCAGGTAAGATATTTGAATAAAAAGGCCAGTATATACAGGGGAACATAGGACAAATAAATGGATTATTTCTATTAAATTTGGAATTTCGTTGAACTTTTTTGCGAATCTCATGATTGGAATTCAATTAAAATCCCCTAAATATATAAGCTATAGGCAGTTATGTAAAGAAATCACATTTCACATTGTTTCTTGCCACATCGATTATTATAATAAATAAATTGTACGCTGTTGATATTTGCAAAAACTAAAGCTCTTAACAAATTTTAGTAAATTAGAATATATGTTTGATAACGACTGCTACAATTTAAGGGAATGGCATTTCCCCGCTATAGCTACCAAAGTATCTGTTTGAAAATTAAAAGGTCACTTGGAAGTAGTCATAATTAATTTAATATTAATTTAAAAACCGTAATGACCTCCGTAGTAGAGCGACTACTAACTAGCTGCTTGTTTTTCGGTTCCAAGTGCATTAGATATAAATGCGGAAACAACCTTTTGTTTTCCCTTTTCTCATATGCAGCGAACTGCCTCACGAGGTCTGGCTAACCGATGAACAGCAACTACGTCGAATTCTGGACCAGTCCCTGCAGCGACTGGTTTCGGAGAAAGCCAATAGTTCAACAACTGCATCGGATCTCATGCAGCGGGCTCAGCGTTTGCGCCTCACGCAAATCGAGCACGAAGTGCAGCGGGCCATGGGTAAGTTGTTAAAAGTATTAAGGGCTGGGGATTCGACAGGAGTTTCCTTTCTACTGCCAACTTTCAATGCAGCACTTTCCAATGAGAAAATACTGGCAGTATTTCGGGAGCGTGCCGCTCAATCCAGTAGCAAGGATGTGGAGGCTGGGGAACGGTTGCGCAAAATCAAAGACGAGCTCACGATGAACCTATCAACAGATAATCACACGACTTTGGTGTAAGTGTCAATCTGTCTATCAATCCATCACTTGTTTCATTGTTTTGTAATGCAATATTTTTTTCCATCTGCCTTTAGTGTGCCTGGCAGCGCCAGCAGCGAGGCCATTGATCCAGACAATGAGGACCATGAGACGTATTTGAGCAAGTTCAAGAACAAAGTCACCGACAAGCTGCGTTTGCTAATCGAGGCGCACATTACAAATGATCCCGATGTTATCAAGGGGAGAAAAAAGACTGTGCAGGTGAGTGTTCGGTTTGTGTGTAGGTCTGCGTATATAGTATACCTGACCAACACAGACAGCGCAATTAACTCAACAGACAGCTACAAAACGTTTTGCCGCAGGCATTAAATTTAATTTCTACTTATTTAGACAACAGCGGCAGCCGCAGCAGCCGTATTTGTTTTTCATTCTTGTTGGCGTGTTTATTCAAAATTCTTGTTGTTGTTATTGTTTCGGCTGCATTATTGTAGTTGCTGGCGTTGCTGTTTCTGTTGCGGCTTATTACCTAAACTCTGCGAGAATTCTTAAAGCAAGGCATTCCAAAAAGCAGCCATAAATTAATTTTTGGAAACGTTTGCCAGTGGATGGGTGGGGTGGTTGGATGGTAGCATTTATGTGTTGATTTTCTTTTCTTTTTGCCATATTCATGAGATGGCTTAAACTTGCCCGTCTGGCTGTGGCATAGCGGTGCTTCTTGGGATTTTTGGGATGAGGATGAAAATTAAATAAAGTTTTATATTGCAAGTGCTTAGGGCCGCGCATTGTTAATTAAATATGAGCGACATCGTCATCTTTTTTCTCCTCTCACTTTTGTCCGTTGCTATTGCTGGGCAAAGTAAATTATGTGCTTACTTTTGATTCTATTGAGTCGCGGCTGTTGTCGAGGATGATTAATGCAAAGATTTGTGCATGGAGCGTCTGGGATCGTTGATACAAAGGGCGCTTAAATTTATCGCAACTTCACTGTGCCCCAATATTCCTTTCTTCATTTCACTATTTGCAATTGTTTAAGGGCTTCTTTTTTTACATGGTGGTATTGTTGCTATGCCTTCACATTTCAAGGGCATCTTAAACAACTTTTCTTTGCTACAGCATCCTACATAAAAAGACACTATTTAAAAAGGTAAAAACAAATTTGTTAGTACAAAAAACGATTGTAAGTATTCGCCATACACGCAGCGCTTTGTCTTAAATTTATGCCGATTTTTTGGTTGAATTTACTTTAATCCAATATCAATAAATCTTTAATTAAGAATTAAGAAGAATTGATTAGCATTAAGAAGTGGAACTTCACAGATTCTGTGTTTAAATTTAAAATTGTGTTCTGGATTAATTGTCTTAAGAGCTTTGAATATTTCGATTAAATAAGAGCTTCATTATTGAACAATTATTGATATCGTAAAATAATATATATTATAAAATAAAAAAAAATAAAATTTAAGAAATATTGCTAATTTAAAATTAAATTACAAGTACTCCTGCTTTAAGTGATGGTTCGACCAGAATTAAATAACAGTTATACAGAGCAGCGCTATGTTAGTTAACAGCTGTTACTAACAGACTTAGCTACGTCAACAGAGCTGAATGCCACAATTACCGTTAAATTGGTAAAATCGTAACCATATGCGACTTAAAGAGAATTCACGAAACCATAAAAATGAGCAAAGTCGAAAAAAGCTACGGCTTTAGATGTGTATAGTAGTCTGCATAGAAATGCATACTAAAAATCAATATCTAAATGAAAAAATGAAATTATATAAATGAATTAATATTTTAGAACAAAATTATTGACAGTCTTCAGTTAACAATTTTGCAGAAACAGTAGAAAATAGTTGAATTTCCACAGCAGCAGTCCTAATAGTGTTACTAACGACTTGGTATGCTTTATGTTTTCCATTGCCACTTTAAATTTGAAAAAAGAATTTATATAAATTAAATAATATTTTGGAACAAAATTATTGTAAGTGTTCATTGAACAGTTTTGCAGAAACAACAATTTAATTAGCATTTATTTGTTTTACACTATTTGCTTGAAAATAGATGAGTTTCCACAGCAGCAGTCTTAATTATGTTACTTCAATAAATTAATATTTTAAAACAAAATTATTGTAAATGATCATTTAACAGTTTTGCAGAAACAATTTAATTAACATTTATTTGCTGATTTGTTTTACACTATTTGCATGAAAGTAGTTGAGTTTCTACAGCAGCAGTCCTAATTGTGTTACTTCAATAAATTAATATTTTAAAACAAAATTATTGTAAATGTTGATTTAACACTTTTGAAGAAACAATCATTTTATTAGCATTTATTTCCTTGTTTGTTCTTCACTATTTTCATGAAAGTAGTTGAGTTTCCACAGCAGCAGCTCCAATAGTGTTACGACTTGCTGTATTTCATATATTCCATTGCCACTTTAAGCTTCACTGCTTTTTGAATAGATGAGCATAAGCGACAATTTTGTGTTTTTGTCAGCTTTATAACGAAACTAAAACGTAAGGAAAATATTTTGTGAGCCACAGGAAAATGTTCACTGCTTCATGTCACATTTACTTTCTTTTTACTGCTCATTTCTCTCTAGAGTTTTTGTGTTTTTTGTTCCGCACAACACAACTAAGCAAAAGCGACAACTACAGCAACAGGAAAAAAATTAAGTTAGTAGTCAACGAAACGAAACCATATAAAAGCGAGTCTAGCCAAAGGACATTCTTTGCAGCAGCCGGCGCTTGCGGTGGGGCTCTCAAATGCGCAGTAGAGTTCTCTACGCCTGGGATGGCAACATTCCCAGCATTGTTGACTCCCTAGTGGACTAGGGGGAGGAGGTGGGTGGGGGTGTTCTGGCAAGCAAATATGCACGTTGAGGTGGACTGAATTGCATAACATGGTTTGTACAGTGAGACTAACTATACAAGAGGGTTTCAAGGATTGGTGTGCACTTCCGCTTTCAATTTCTCGCCGCATTCCGCTGCGGCGCTTGCCAGTTTTGTTTGCCACCAACTCTTATGGTGGCCTCTCTGCTGAAAGCATTTAACATTTCAACTTTCGCCAAACTGAAGGACGATGCCTTGTAATGCGAGCGGCGGCCATTAGCGACCGCAGCTGCCCCATTTTTGTGTGTAAGCTGAGCTGAGTGGTGACATATTAACACACTTACACTTGCATACAATGAAGCATGCTACACATTATCGTCCCCCCACCGACCTCCCCCTTTGTCCTACCCAGCATTTTCTCGCTTTGCGTGCCCGCGTGTTTGCGTTTAACGATGCGGAACGCACATAAAACTGCATTGAGCCGCAGCGGGCCCGTTGCAACATGAAAGTGTTGCACAAACAGCATTTTAATGCCCTTTAAAGTCTTTCCCTAACCTACTCACACACACACACACACACACACACGTGTAGGGTGATATTTTCACGCGTGTGTGGGTGTATTTGTCCTGGGAAAATGGCCATGCACTTTGACAAAATGTTGTGGCTTTTAAAGCCGCAACCAAGAAATATGCAAAGTGTGAAGGCACCACGAGTAGGTACTACCCCTTGCACATACCCATACATGTGGCCACGCTGCGTATGAGCAACGTTTTTGCAAAACTATGCTGCACTCTTCACGGTACGGTCGTTTGGTAATTGCTCTTAAATAATAATAATACTAAAATGTTTAAAATGTAAGGCTAATTAGGCGGCTGCCTGTTAAGTGCTCTTCTACGTTCTAAGTGCTGGTGAAGCGGTGCTATTTTTTTTTTGGGGAATTTAAATGCATTTCCAGAAAATTCTAAATATGTATGGATTCTGCGTAAGTCCTTATGACACAAAAACTACGCATCTGGCTCATACTCAAGCCAAATCAGATTTACAAAGTAAAAGCTTCTTACACTTACGCCCCCATGCATATTTATGTGTAGTAGTTGGGATCTGAGAGTGGGTCTGAGAGTGAGTGTGTGGGTTTGAGCGCGTTTGTAAGTCCATTGAAGTACCCCTGGATATAGACTACTAAGCCGCTGCTAGACAGAAAGCGAATGTCAATGCTGTTGCTCCTGATGCCACCGCAACGCAACGGCCGTCGACAGCCACAAGTAGCTCTCAAGTGCTGACTGACTGCCGCCAGCCCTCTATTTGTTCACCTGTCCAGCTCCGGCAGATACAACTTAGTGTCTGGTATCTGGACGGAGAAACGGGGCGACGACAACAAGACTACCTATTTGCTAGGCGTTTCGGTAACAGGCAGTAATGCCAACGCCTGTGTCAGCGGCAATAGTGCACAGCAGGTAGCAAATACACACACACACACACACACACACACACACACACACACACACACACACACACACCTATCGTGGACCCTATTACATGCACTTGCATACACACATGGGCAAAATGTAGGTAAACAACGTTACAAATAAACGCGCTGAAAGTCACTCACACGAAAGACACGATGAGAAGGAAGCGGAAGCGGATGCTTTGCCATAATATATGTCGGGCACGGTGGCATAGTGGCGTAGTGGCACGACTGGCTTGGGACACCAAACGACCTGCTGTGAGGAGAGGTGTAGGTGTAGGTGTAGCTACTGCAGATGACAACTTGGCGAGGCAAACAGCCTCGGAACAAGGTCACATCCTCAACACACTCAACATCCCCAGCACAGGCACAGTGACTCACAAAAAAACAACAACGAGACGTGTTTTTTTTTTTTTTTGTTTTTTTTGGTCCAGCAACACACCTGAAGGCGTCAATTGAGAAATTCCACATTTTGTTCGAAAGCTTCGAGGCGCATATCTTTTTAGTGAAACTTATCTTTTGTCCGACGGATAAAGCTGACACAGGTTGCTGACGGGCAAGATACTTACAATTGTACAATTTCATGGAAATTTCGTTTTTTATTTAGCATTTTAAAACGATTTGTTTGTGTTTGCACTTTCCTTAATTTGTATGATCATACCGATAGTTTTCATGTTAAATACAAATTCTGAATCAATTTAAATATTTTATGTCCGGTTTAAAGTGCAATACTCAGCAGCTTAATAGTTGATACATTTTATGAGAAACACCCGGGGCCATCTTTGAAACAATCGCAATGCATTGGTTGTAATAAAGAATAAGAACTTATGTGTATATTACTTGATTATACCATCTTTTAAAATTATCTGAAAAGTTTTCGGCCATTTTTATTGAGAGCCTCGTGTTTGTTTTTTCCAAAAACGAGTTGAGATTTTCTCAGTGGATTGCTTTTGGTTGATAAATTCAAAATGCAATGTGGTTGCAGCTATGGAAAGTGTAATACTCAGCACCTTAATAGTTTATCCATTTTCTGGGAAGCACCCAGGTCCTCATTTGAAACAATCGCAATGCATTGTTAGTACTTATGTATATAATTACATGATTATACCATCTTTTAAAATTATCTGAAAAGTTTTCGGCCATTTTTATTGAGAGCCTCGTGTTTGTTCTTGAGAATTTCTCAGTGGATTGCTTTTTGTTGATACATTGAAAATGCTATGTGGTTGCAGAATCAACATCGGGAACCATTTAATTTTAAAATAAAACTATGTTAAGAAAGCGAATGTAATGATAGCAAATTACATTTTTAATGCACTGCCATTACATTATTATTTGCCATTCGACTCACTGTTCATGTGAGTCCTGTGTGTGCGGAGAGATGTGTGAATGTAGCTCGACATTTGCGTTGAGTCGTGTTAAGGCGACGAAGGGCGAGCGAGCGGAAGCTGGTCTGCTTTTTGATGAATTACTTTGCAAATGGCTGAGGTCTATATGTATCTGTGTCTGTGTCTGTGTGTGTTTGTGTGTGTGTGTGTGGGCTTGAGTCGACTTCTACAGATTCCACTTACGGTGGTAATGTTAATGCCTGTGTGTGTCTGTTTACACCCACTAGTACTGATGATACTGACTGCGACGTCGTTCATTTCTTTCTCGCAGGAAATTTTTCACGAACATGCCACACACCTGCGCATCCTGCGCGAACACTGCAACAGCGACGCCCTCATTCAGTCAAAGGTGCCGGATCAGCTGCGTCAGAATCTGATGGCCAACTTTCGTAACGGCAGCCGTCACGCTCCTTACTTTATCTGTGGTGCCCATGGTACTGGAAAGAGCGCAATCATCACAACTCTTTATAACCAGGTCGTCGAATGGTTTTCCTCGACACGAGTGCATCGCGTCATTCGCTTTGCTAAGGCCACGCCTCGCTCCGCCTACAACCTGGAACTGTTGCGCGTCATTTGCCAGCAAATCTCAATTATATTCAATATACCAGAGGGCTATTTGCCCAAGGATGCCTCCTTCGACCCATTATACATCAGCAATTGGTTCCAAAATCTACTGCGTCGCATCGAGGACATGAGCAACGATGTATTGTTTCTCTTCATCGATGATCTACATCTGCTTAATCCCTTGGACTGTGACATTGTTGCCGCACTCTCCTGGCTGCCCACATCGCTGCCCTGGAATGTCCAACTCATCTGCACCTCGACCTCACCTGTGGAGCATCTCAAATTCACGCCCATGCAACGGGATCGCTTCAAATCCAACGAATACCAATTCGATCTAAATGCTAGCGAGTTTGCCACGCAGTTGCGCCGCCCAGAGTCCTGCGGGCAAGACATCAACTTTGTGATTTACGTCGAGCAGCAATTCGATGCGTTAGAACGATGCTATGGAAAACAGGCAGTAGGCAGTCTAGCCGCCTACATTACTTGCGCGGAGTACGGCCTGTCCGAGACCGAGCTGCTGGAGCTCCTCATGCCCACCGATGATCCAGAGTCTTTGATAGAGACAAGAAATGGACATTTTAGCTTCTCGTCCTTCAAAAAGATACACAATGAAATGGGTAAGTCAATACTCAACGCATTAATTCGATTGAAACAAGCCATATTTTAATTTAATATTTTATATATTGTCTGAAATGATAAATTTTTTGGTTCTCATTCTCAAACAACAAACAATTGAACAAGCAATTTGAGGGCACTCCAAGGGCTGCAATTTATATAATTATTTTATTTGTTTGTGGTTGATTAAATGGAGCGCACTCCCTAATTAAAACTCTTAGAAATCAATTACAATTACACTTCTCATTACGAAGACAAACATTTTTTCAAAGGTTGCTGCTCGCAAATATTTTAATTTACGTAATTAATTTTAAAAGAAAAAAATGCAAACATCAAATTTTTAGTTACCTACTATATATAGTACTAGTATTTCAAAGTTCAAGTACATATAAATATTCAAATGAGTTATTATAAAAAATATTGGCTCATTACATAAGAAGTTACTAAAAGTATTTGTAATAATAAAGCGTTAACTTTAATTTCCATTCTTCTCACCCACAGAAAAGTTATTGCTGCTGCGCGACAAAATAATGTCGGGCAAGGTGTTAATTCAATGGCGTCACAATTATTGCGGCGCTGTAGCAATGCGTCGCTATATGGATACGCAACGCCGACGGCAGTTGCATATTGAATTGGCAAACTTGTTTTTCCCTCAAGACGAGGACGAGAGCACACTTGAGAACGATTCCACCAGAAGTGAGACGAAGTCGGTCATTAGCATGAAGGAGCGTGATCCAATGAGGGACAGCAAGGAGAAAGAGCGCGACAAGGATAGTGTTTCAGCGGGACGCAAGTCATCATCCACGCATCACAATGACGACACATCGACCTTCTACAATCCCATTGCCGCGGACGTATCCTACAGCATGCGGCATGTCGAGGAAAGCTGGCATCATCTCATGCGCTCAGATGATACAATGCGCTTCAAACAGATTGCAGTCTGTAATTTCGACTTTTTGCTAGCGGCCGTAAGTACTCGTATATCGTATACCTTAAAGCTTCTCTAAGTACAGCAATTATTTACTCGAGCGTCTTCTAAGAATGCGCCTTCATTAGAGTTCTGTTTGAATCTGAAAAGTTCGGTGTTAGTGCTGCATTTATTGAAGCGTGCATTTGAGAAAACAAGAGCCAGCCTTAATTAACGTTAACGTTGCAAGCGCATTCTCATTCAAAACTCTTCACTCTTTCATCTTTTTAGTCAAACAAAAGCAAAAAAGTTTCAGTTTATTCACTCATTGCACGCGCTCGAAAGTATGCTACGCTTATTTAAGCAACTTTCTGACTTGCTGCAAATCGAATTAACTTCTCATTTATTTAACTGAATTGCGAGCGCAACAGAGACAAAATAAATTGCACTTGCAAGCTCAGAGAAAGCTGTAGAAATGAATCAAAAACAAAATTCGTTTCCATTCCATAAAAATGCAAATATGCGAAAGTTCAATTAAATAGTGTGCATTGAAAGAAAAGAAAAAACCATGCATAATAAAAGCATATTTAAATATTTGCATTCATTTCGTTATTAAAACTTTATTATATATACAGATTGACGTGAGATAAAAGCATGCAACTATGACAATATTGCATTCAAAACATGCAGCTGAAGGCCAGTTCGCTTGTGTGTTTTAATGGCAATATCATTTCACGAAAATGAAATCACTCAATACAAGTACACAGGTTATTCAAAACAAAATGTCAAAAAATATCCATTTAGCATTCCATAGAGACACTCTGTGGCTGTGTAATTCAAATTGATGAACTGAAAAGGAGAAATGCATTCAAATGCAAAAAACCTTCACTAATTGCAAATGTCAGATGTCCTTTTTTCAATTAACATCTTCATCAAATAAATTGAAAGATGTGACGTGTCGAGTACGCTTCTATAATTTTTCTGCAAAGCGTACGCTTAAAAACCAAATGAAAGCAGGTGCCCGAATAGTAGAAATTGGGGCCTTTAAAACATGCAGTCCTGCAGTTCACAGAACGGTTTAATTAACTTTAGAGAGATCAGTTGTTGAAAATGTGTTTTACATGCAGTTGTTTTTTAAATGAATGGCTTTAAACTCATTTAAACACTCTTAATAGTAATTCCTTTTCCGAATTTTCTTAAAATATAGAGAGCTATCACTTACTTCAGCCTTTTAAAAATAACATGACCCTTCAAGTTATTTCTTAATGTTTTTAATGTTCCCAACTAAGCCATGCAAGAAATTTAATCAGAACTCGTCTAATTTAAAAAGAACTCTTATTCCTTATAACGTGAGATGCTTTCGTTTTTCTATAAACAAATATTTCTTTGTTAGCGTTGGAACATCAAATTCATTACGTGCTTTTAGTTATTAATATCGAACTTTCATGCTTAAAGCTGATGTTTGCACCAAAGCAGAGTTGAACTCGATGAAAAGTTAATTGTATGGCAATGGAATGAAAAAATGTGTCAGGAAATCATTGAATCGATTAAATTGAGATTTGGTAGTCCGTATACAAACGCTAGGCTTGTTTATTTTTTATTTAAGAACAGGAAGAAATACGATTAAATTGATTAATTAGTAGATGCCAAATAAAAATGTTGGTCTTTTTTTTCTAAGTAGCAGTCGTTAATTTGATTAAAATTCTTTTTAAGCTTAGGCATCCAAAGATAACTTTATAGATCTTTAAAATGAGCTTTACTTCGCTTTTTGTAAATAGCTGCGACCTTTGTTGACGATTCATTTGCCACCCTTTTGTCATGCTTGCAGGTGCAAACAGTGTCTATCAGCTATTTGCGTTGCCTGATTGAGCATGTGCGCTGCTTTATATTGGATCGCGATATCGAGCTCATCTACTACACCATCCGCAAGTCAAGCGATGTGCTGACCCGTGATCCCATGCAGCTGGGCTCGCAGCTCATCTCCTGGCTGCGACCGATTGGGGAGCACGATGACGATGACAACTCCCTCTTGAGCATGACAGTGCGCTCTGCCACAGCCTGGTGCGATGGCTATGCTGTGCCGCTGCTAGTGCCCCTTACGGGCTGGCTACCGGCACCGTTGCCCTCCCAGATTCGCACCATGACCGTCACCGGCACAGGTGGCATCATTAGAGCCGTTTGTGTGGCACCTTCGAAGCAGCATCTCATACTGGCCACCAACTCCGGCGATGTACAGCTGTGGCACATCATGAGCAACTCACTGGAGCACATATTTAAGGGTAAGTGATGTGTGCTGTGCTCATTACTCGCTCTAATCACACACACACACACACACAACAAATGTTTCTTATATTCTCCAAATAGGACACACAGCCGCAGTCACGTGCCTGCTGGTGGCGCCACATCAATCCGATATCTTGCTGACGGGCTCGGAGGACGCCAGTGTACTCGTCTGGCACGTGTCCGGGCGCGAGCGCCGAGCGCTCATCAAGTGAGTGTCAAGTATCGCAGTCGATTGTAAATCACGACAGCGGCACAATTTATCAATCTCTACTGTCTCTGGTTTCTTTTCTTTTGTTTACTTTTTGTCGTTTGCACTTAGCAAAAGTTCACTTAAGTCCTATTATTTTAACATTAATACATGAAACAACTTTTTGGTAAAGTGATTTGGGGAAGGTTTTTTCTTAAGTGGTTTCTAAACGAGCAATAATTGGCAGCACCTTATGGTGCTCAATATTTTCCATATCAAATACAAATTTTATTTTTATTTTTAAATTAATATTTATATTGAATGATTACAAAAATGTACATCAGTGAGATTAACTGTGATAGATTAAAATGCCAGATCAATTTACTAAAGAGAAAACCTCATTTAAGCTAAATTTCTGCTTATATTTATTCACCTATGTTTTCAATGATTTCTTATTTCAAGCCAATTTTCGCATAAATTACAAATACCAGATCAATTTATAAAAAGAAAACCTCATTTGAGTAAAATTTCTGCTTCTATTTGTTCACCTTTGTTTTCTATGATTCTTTATTTCGAGCCAATTTTCCCAAAAATTGTATCAATGCGACTCAAAGTGTCGTTTCTTCAATTTACTTTTCTTTTACTGGGAATTATAAATATCATATTTTACATTCAAGTGATAATGGATAAATTCTCAATACAATAAAATAAAATAAAAAATAGTCTAAAATAAAAAAATATATTTAAAACTATTATTTTTTATAAACCTTTCGGCCGTAGTTATTACTTTGGATGAGCTACCATTTTTAGTTTTCACATTTTCTTAAATTTGCTTGAATAAGGAAAATAAAATGATATGGTACCAATTTAATAGTTAATAGATTATTAGTATTATTAAAACTATAAAGTTCAAATCCAAAGAGCACAAAGTAAAAATTAAGTGCACATTTCTTATTTTTTAATTTATTGGAAAGTTGCTAAAAACCAAAAGAAAAAAAAACATTATCTAAATCACCCATGAGAAGTCGAATGAAAGAATAGAATAGTAGTTGCTTAATCTTTTAAATTGTTTTATTTTTATTTTTTTGTTTTCAATTTAATTAAAGTTTGAATACTCTATGTATATTGATGTCAACTCAAGGTTGCAAACAACCATGAGGTATATGTAAATAGGAGTATTAGTTAAAAGATTTTGTCAGTATTATACTTAGCTTGGTTTATTAATTTGGAGTGTTAAACAGTTTGTTGGGAAGTGTGTTTAAAAAATGCACATGTCACATGTTCTTTATTTTTTTTTTAATTACAGAGCACACTCTGCGCCAGTGACGGGTGTGGCAGCTGGCGTCAATAATACCTTGGTCATTAGCAGCAGCGAGGATGCAACAATTGCGATAACGGACCTGCTCAGCGGGAAATTGGTAAGTGGAATTTCGATGCACATTGTCCAGTTCGATGGACGCGATGCAACGTGTTTGTTTCGTATTTCGAGTCTCTTGTTCAATTAAAATCGAATTGCGCTGCGAAAAATGTTTGCTGCCAGAAACGAAACTGTTATTTGGAAAATTGCATTTCGCGCCATTTGCCTGAATGTGGGAATGTGGGAATGTGGAAGTGAAAAAGCATGGACTCTTGTTGCAGCTAATTGCAATGCCACGCCGCGAGGCAAATCAAACGGACCACATTAATTTGCATAATTCAGCTGGCCAAAATGGCAGTGGGCGAGAAGGCCACACAACTGCCACGCCACTCACTAGCACACCTCCACCCAAATGCCTGTGTGGGTCTTAGGGTGTGTGTGCTTGTTTTGGGTGCGTGTCAACGCGCAGCTTGTTGAACATGTATTTGTGTCACGCACGCGTTTGTTTGCCACACATGTCGTTGCGGCAACGGCAGCTGTTTCCCTCGCGCCTGGCAAATGAAGCGCGACCACGATAGGTAGCGTTCGGATGTCGGCGGCACGACTCCAGGCCGCTTCTGTTTGCCTTAATGTTACGCATACGCACCGTGCGACCGTAACAGCAATGACGACCCGCGCTTATGTCATAAGTCATATTAATTTTAAATTTCACCAGCACACAAGCACACGAACCGGCAGTCTAGCAGTGCACAGTGAGACATTTTGTAATAACATCTGAGCACCATTTTATTTGTGTTTTTTTGAAAATTTTGTGAGCAATTCCACAAAAGTTATCGTTAAGACTTAGGAGAACCTCTACCAAGATTGACGATTATAGCTTATCTAAGCAGTTTTCTAGATCAGTGCGTTCATATAGACAGACTGGCATAATTGAATCAACTCAAGCTCATTGATATTAAATATATTTTTTATAAAATACATTTATATACATTTATATATTCAAAAATATTAAAGAACAATCTACTAAACTAATCAAATTAAAATATATATTTTGTGTGCAAAATGTGTCGCGAAGTATAGTAAAAAATATTTAATTTATGCATCGCAGCTTTTTTTAAACGAACACTAAATACGAAATATCCTTTAGCAAAGTGTATTAACAGAATAAAATATTTAAGATATAGGGATTTGTTCGCTTTTTTACATTTTTAAGCTAAAATGACTTCAAACTTCTTCATAATATTTTGATGAGCATACTTGTAGTTTATGATGCAGCTGTACGTTTTTATAATAAGCTTGAAAAACAGACATTAAGGAAAAGAAATTAAAAATATCGTTCTGTTGACTAGAGAATAAATTTGTTTTATGAAATTTTGAACACTTATAGTGAGGAATGAGTTTGTCTTTAGCTTTTAATTCCATATTTTGCCAACGTTCAATTAATTCGTATTCTTCATTTAAAACTGTATTTCAGGAATATCTGCATAATCCTTTTATAATCATAGAGAAAAGCATCGCTTAAAAACATTTTCCCATTGTTTTTCTCCAGACTATACAAACACAACACTGTGCAGTTGGCAGGACACACACACGCACACACACGCACATTAAACTGTGATTACCTAGAATGTGAATGGCAATGACAGCCTTCGTGCTCACATCTGACTCCTCACTGCAGAGCTCGACGTTTGAATATAAATTGTATGCATAAATCGGCATAGAAATCGCGCTTGTTACGGCCTTAAGTGTGAGGGTATGGATGGGGGTGTGTTTGTGTGTGTGTGTGCGTGTGTATGTATTTGTGGCAGGCACTCCTTGCCGCCTGTTGACACACATATAAATTAGATTTATTGCCACTTGGTTGCGCTGCGCATATTTTAAAGCCATTTTCGCTGACTTTCAGTTGGGCCCCAACAAAGGATGCGGCGGCAAAGCTGTCGACTTCCGCCATAATGGGCTATCAGGGAAGTTAAAGTGAGGCCTTACGCTTGATGTCCGTTAAATGAAACATATAATTCGCCCTCTAAATGAAAGTGACGAGCCACAAAGACAGCAAAATCGCTTGACGAGCTGTTGTAGTTCCAGCTTCTTTTTTTTTTTTGGCCAAGCTGTAAGAGCTAGGGGCGTGCGGAAAAGTTGTTCATGCAGCGTAAATACAAAGAACTGGGTTTCGCGAAATCAATAATCGAAGCAACAGTTGCCACACATACATACCATTTAAAGAGCACTCGAGCTGATTAAATTAATTGTATTATTACGTATACGCAGTGTCATGCTATTTTTCTTCAGCATGAAGAATGTCTGTTGCAGGAGCATTAGGAGCTCGTATGTTTGTCAGTCACTGTCAAGTTGCTAGCATTTCAAAGTCTAGCTAATTTATCAAACTTTTAGCGTTTTCGTGTGACTTTCACTGCCAGCAAGCACTTCATGCCGCTTGCTCCTTGCCCCCGCCCCCCTTTGCTAGCGTGCGTGCCTTGTCAACATTGCATGTCTAATGGTAATTAACGTAATGCAGACAAAATGGATCACATATGTGTCACGCGATGGAGTCCAAATACTTTGGTCTCTCACACTACCCCTATCATGCATGAATGTTTCAAAGCCCTCGCCAGTCCCCATTATCTTTATAGCCGAATTGTATTCGATGAGTTCGAATATTTTGAGCTGCGACCAAATAAACCAATAAAATGGCAACAAATGGTCTACAAAATGCCAATATATGTTCATCAGAAATGTGCACATACTACACATACATTGACAACTTTTGATTGATATGCATGTGCATATGTAATGGGATTTGTGTGTGTGATGCATCACAAGGACGACACGGTGTCGTAATCAATTTTACAAATGAAAAACTATATGTACGCCATAAAATGAAAAACAGCAAGATCAAATTTCAAACACTCGCAAATCGAATAAATAATAAAAATAAATGCAATAGCTACAAAACGTTGCTTTAACTGTAGGTATTCGTGTAGCAGAGAGGTGTTGATTGATTGCGTTTATGTGTTCTAACCAATCTGCATGAAATTGTTATTCTTAAAGGAGTACGTATTTGTTTAATACGAAAAAAACGTTCACACTTATTAAAGGTGACTTTACACCTGCCCTTTACCGGGTTGGGCAGAATTTTGGCATCAAACTGTGGACTCTAACCTTTTCTCAGATTGTTACAATACTACACAAGGACACAGATATTATAAACTCGTTTAGCATCTTACTCCAGCGGAATTCTGATTAACAATCTACCGTATTTAGGAATGTGATTGATATTTTAGGAAAAAGGTCACAAAACTACCGTTAAAGACAATAAACAAAATTGTAATCCTTACTAGCTTGCACTCGCTTTACTATTCATTCATTATTCATTTTTCTACCGTCAAGTTGTATATTTAAGTTCTAAAGTCGGGCGTATGTTTTCCTTAATCTAAGGAATCCATTTTGTGAATATATATATAAGTAATATTTCAATGGTCACGTTAGTATTAAATAAATAAATCACTCATAATCTATTCAAAAAAAAAAAAAAAAATTGTTTAAAACCCACAAAAATATATTGTAGGGATGCAGATTATTCTACTTTTTCGTTGCTTTTTTTATGTTCCTTTAAAATTTGCATTTCACTGTTCAGTTGAATTTTCAGTGTTAATTTTTAAGCCTTTCAAGTTTTCAAAAAAATTACATTAAGTTTAATATTTAAGGTAACAAATAAGAAGACTTTAGCTTGCATTATCTTGCCAATTTAATATTTGATGTATCGGATACTTTTTTTTACAGACATTTTAACTTTTTTTAGGGTAATAGGAGGCCATTACGAAGCCTAAGCTGATTTAATTTGAAAATACTTTAAAGGATATCACAAAAATTATCCAATAAATTCCATAAAGTACATGATAAGAGTTAAAAAATAGTAGAGTACTTCAATGCCAACCTTTCTGTCTGCATTATTAAAAATTCTTAAGAGAAATACTTCGATCATTCTAAACTGTGACCAGCTCAACATGCATAAAAACAATAAAAGTCCCTTAAAAATGTTAATGGCAATTAAATATGTTTTAAGCACTTTATCGCTTCAATGTTGTGCTTCTAAATCCTCATACTTTTAGGTTAGAAGCTCAAGTAAAAGTATAAGCAAAGCTCTTGCTAAATACATCGATTTTAGTTCTAGAAGCTGGAAGCTGCTCACTTGCTTCATGTTGCTGAGGCATAGTAATAGCAACTATAGCCAAATTTTTTGTACAATATGCATTGCTGACATTTTCATGATATTTCAATAATTGGCAATACGTTGTGGTTAACAAGAGCTATGTCAAAACATATATTTTGGCAAATACCTACTAGTGTGTTGAACAAATTCCATCCGACCGTAGCTAAATTCCTTTATAAAATGAATTTTAATTGAATGTGCTGTAAACCACAAAGGCATGCAATAATAACACCAATTTTTGAATTCCACAACTTGGCATCTTGCAGAAGCACAGAATTACATACCATCGTGCTGGAGTAAGCGGCATCCTTGTGGCCGGAGCCTGTGACGTTCTGATTTCGGCCAGCCTGGACAAAACGATTTGTGTTTGGAATCTTGACAATTATGCACTGCTCAACACAATGCAAATGACAAGTGCAGTGCTCAGAATCGACATCTCATGGAACTCGGTGAGTGGCAATAATAAGAAAACAACACAATAATTCAAGAACTGTGAGTGGCGGTGCTAAACTGCCAGGATTACCAGGATCAGGGCACTGACAACAACGTAACAATAGGCCAATAACAGTGGCTTAGCTTTTGTCTGGTACTCGTAAAGTGTTCCCCAAGCTGCGTATCTGCGCTTATCGTCGGGAGTAAAAAGTTACGCTGTGCACAATTTAAAACTAGACAAAGTTTTCCTGCTCTCCGACGTTAGCTGCCAAATCACTTTAAGTTCTGTGCGACTGGGGAGGAGAATTCTAATAAGTGATTTCAGCTTACGGGCGCATTACAAGCGAAATCCTTTGTTGTCAATCAGCTTGACAAAAAGCAGATGAAGCTAAGAGGCTGAGTAACGAGATGCTGTGAAGCTGTGAAGCTGCGAAGCTGCGAAACTGCGAACTCTGCTATCGTACTTGACTCACTGAGTGTGTGAGTATATGTGTGCCTATACGGCAGTGTGGCTGTGTGTGTGCGTGCATGTTTTTATCAAAAAGTATTGCATACTTAGCAGCAATTTCGCACGCTAAACAATATCAATATTGAAACGCCCTCCCCACTTCAGCTGGTATGCTTGTAATTCGAATCGTTTCCTCACACACATATCTGCAAGGACAGCTAGATAGTCACAAAAATACACACACATACGCTTACAGACATGTGACAATTGATGCGTGGAAAGGCAAGGAAAAGTTTTCCTTGCTCTACATTTTGTATTTATATCAATTTCTTCCAATAAATCGACGATAGACTGCCTGTCGCATTCTGCCATCGCAAACTTATCACGACCAACAACAACAACAACAGCAAAAGCAGTGGCAACAACAACAACAACAATACTAGCTAGAATGTCTGTCGAGTTTGCAAACTTTGGCAGCAGAAATTTAGCGGCAAGCTGCAACAACCAAATTTGTTCTATAGCAGAAAAAACTTTGTAATCGCTGAATACTAAGGCTGATGATGTTCCATAGATTCGGTTTCCATCCCTTTACATCTGCATCGTTACAGTTACAAGCATTTGTTTTCGGCCAAAATATGCTTCCTCTTTCCAATCCATTGCTATCTAATGCAAGCAAAAGCACTTATGTTGTCAATAGGAAATCAAATGATGTTGTGTTTGTTCAAGTCAAATAGATAATGAGACAATTTATTTGTATTTTATTTATATAAAAAGTATTTAAAATTGTAGCCAATGGTTGAATAGTAGGACAAAGTTTTGTTATCTTGCGTTCGATGCGGAACTAAAAACTCTGTCTACAGCTGACGATTAATTTCAATATCGACTTAGATCGGGGGCAACGAATGCAAATCTAGTTTTCTCGAGCTAAAGATTTCATTAATATTTCACAATCGATATAGTATATATCAATGCCTTTTTAAGTTTATAATTATTTTCTCAAACATTCTATAAATTTTAATGAGTTTAAAATGCTTCTATTCCGGCTTCCTCTTTGCAGAAACTTGGATAATACAAGTAGTATTAAACAATATCTAATATTTCATATTGCAGCTTGTAACAATTTAATCAGATTGAAAGCTATAAAAATCAGATTTGTTTTAGATACAAAGTATCATCTTGCTGGAAATTTAGCTATATTTTTCACAGCTTAACTTTTTGACATTTCACCTTCAAAACTAAAGCTCTACTACAAGCCCTAACTTTTTATTGATTAGTAGAAAATACTCAACAAATGAAATAAAGAAAAGTTTAGTTGCTAAAGGGTTTGATTAATTGCCAACTTTTCGCTTGCCTTTAAACTACAGCTTTTGACACAAAGTGAACATGATTGAGTTGCGATTAAAAAGAAACGACTGGTCTTCCAGCACTTTGAACAACAAAGCACAATGGGACTAACTTACGAGTACGTTGCTGTCCTTGCATAGTAATTAGCCAAGTTTCAAGTTCCAAGTTCAAAGGGCATGAAGCGCGAAATTTCTTTGTGTGGAAACCACAAATTATGCGCGCCACAAAAACACCCTTCAAATACCAAACGCACTCATTCGCACTTATCGTTCGAATAAAAGTGCCGAAACTGAACAAATTGCCTATAATCATCCTGATAAAGTCAAAGCCATGCCGCACACCCCACACATGTTGTGCAATTCGTGGGATTTTTGCTTTTAAAATTTGCAAACGACAAGGAAAAATGTGCGGCAGCAAATTTTTCGAAATTGAAATGTAATTTTTGGCAGCCCGCAGTCTGTAAATACATTACAGGACACACATACACAGAAACTGTCTCTCCCACTACCACACTCCCACATGTTCCATGCATGAAATGCAGAATATGAGGTCGGGTATGTGCACGAAAATGCCAGGAAAAGAAAATGGCGAAAAGGCTTCCTTAAAGACGTGGACAGAAGGAGGTTGAGGAGGAGGAGGAGGAGCGATGACGACAGCTGTGTAGAAATAGAGAAATGGCAAACGGAAATCTACTTTCTACACTTTAGTCCGTATCCTGATGGCTATACGGCACGCTAATGGTCTACCCCTCTCTACCCCTTCTTCGCTAATGCCGACTTAAATCATCCTCAACCTTAGGCAGTCGCATTCCCGTTCTGGTCGTCGAGTCGAGATTGAAATGTTGCTGCGCAAAATGGCGGCCGGCATTTTTCAATTTCCCGGTATGGCCCTGTTGACGATGTCGTTGTTGTCGGTGAAAAATTGCAACCTGCTGAAAGGTTAAACGGCACAAAAATGGCTGCCTGCACAAAATGTCAGATTTTCTGCAATGCAATTTATTAATTTTTTATTGAATTCGGAACGATTCGTTCGTTCCTTCGTTCGTTGTTGTTGTTGTTGTTGTTGTTGTTGTTGTTGTTGGCTTAAAGTGAAGTGAAATGAAATGGAATGGAATGGCCTGGCATGCTTATAATGGCCATTTGGACACAAAGGAAATTGCAATTAACGGCATTTAATGCACATTTCAGGTATTTTTGCTGGCTCATTGCGAAGATAATGCTCTGTACGTGCGCACCCTGGCCACCGGTAAGGAGTTGCACACTCTGAAGGGCCACAAGTCACGCGTGAGTATCAACCGAGGGGCCGTGAGTGCCGAGAGGGATGGATGCCAGCTAATTGGATTGTTTTAATAATGACCAACGCCTTTTGTGTCACAGATACGCACGATTTCGATTGGAAAGGACAGTCAACGTTGCGTTGTTGGCTGCGAGGACACACGCGCCCTCATCTACGATATGCATTCCGGGAAACTGGTGCGCTCCATGCCGCCCAATCCGGGGCCAGTGACCGCCGTCTATGCCATGGATAATGATGATTTTCTCATCACGGTGGGCGGTAATAAGATAACATTCTACTCGTTTCGTAACGAGGAGCTCTACGTGCATCCTTATTCGCGCAATCAGCGACGCAAGCGCTCATTGAAACGTCTAACGCAGGCACAGCGCTCGCCATCGACCACCCTACCACCCATCACCTGTTTCGACCTCTCCCGCGACTCGCAACAGCTGGCCATTGCCTCCGGACGAAGTGTGCATTTAATGCGCATCAATACCCCCGAATACCAAACCACACTGGATGGACATGCTTGCGTCGTGAATTGTCTGAAGTTTGCGCCAAACTGTGAGTTCCTCGCCACTGGCTCCGAAGATCGCATTGTGCAGGTCTGGAATTTGGCATTGTGTGAGGTCAAGAACACGTTCAAGGGCCATGCAGCTCCGGTGGTGCAGGTGGTGTGGCTGATGGACTCGCTACGCATTATTTCAACGGATCGTGAATCAGCACTCCTTGTCTGGATGGCTGACTCGGGCAACCTGCTTCAGACTATACAGGGGCCCTACAAGAGCCTGGCAGTTACCAATAATATGCGCTTCGCCGCCTCCACTAATGGCGATAATACGCTTAAAATTTGGTCGCTAGTCCAGGAAGACGAGAAATACTCGGTCTCGCACTCAGATGAGATAACCTGCTTTGAGATCAGCGCAGACAGTCTACACATAATAACGGGTTCGCGTGATATGTCGTTGAAGGTATGGCAATCGATCGGTGGTAAGCTCTCGCAAGTGTTGGTCGGACACAGCGATGCGGTCACCTGCGTTACAGTTTCTGTGACAAACAAGACTCAGGTGATTTCGGGCTCCAAGGATATGAATTTGATTATCTGGGATCTATTGACGGGCGAAGAAATACATACACTGGCCGGTCACTTGGGTGCCGTCATTGGTGTAAAGGTTTCTGCCGATGGTGAGTAGCAGTATTTTCTTATCAGAACAAACCCCCCTCCCCCTGCTTCCTTAATAGCACCTCAAAATGTTAATTGCAGGATCCACTGCTGTGTCAGGCAGCGATGACAAAACGCTCATCGTGTGGGAAACTAAGCGCGGGTTAGCCCTGACCTCGCTGCAAATGCACGTCCCTTTTACACATTTCGACATCAGTCTGGAGGTATCACGAGTGATGGTTCAACTGGTTGACAGCTTCAATTTGCCTGTCATCTGTCTCCATAACACGCCAGCGCAGTACGTCAAGCTGCCCACATATTCAGGCCCCACCAAGGACGTCGAAGGTAGGCTTTAGGTTTGTGTACATCTCGATAGAAATTGTAGGCAGTTTCTGTTTTGTGCAGATTTGCGGCCTCAGGGACCAAAGCGTCAGATGAAGCGATTGTTGAAAAAGGAGGTCTCTTTGGACACCTACACCTGGCAGAAGAAGTACGGCCATTTGACCTCCTCTGTTATGATGGCGCAGGTAGATGAGCGCCTGAAGCGCCGTTTCTCCGTTTCGGCCAGCATGGAAGAGATTTCAAAGATAGCCGAATCTAAGACAGGCACCTCTCAGGCTAATCTCGGCCCAGAGCAAGCAGCTCTAGCCCAGTCGCAGCACTTCGATCAGCTGGAGGCGCTCTGGAATAAGCGCTCACCGCCACGTCGTCGCCACAATGCGGTAAGTTAGCATCATTTGTGGGCAGATAGGCCCACAGCGCAGATGAAGGCGCTTAAGAGAACAACCGCTTGTAACTAGAGTATAGCTGCTGCTTCTGCTGCTTAGTCCTAGACATTCAGTCGGCTCTGTAAGTAGCGACTTGTGCCAGGCTTTGCACCCTCCGTAGGTGAAGAGCGGACCGGCCAACTTTTAACGCACCCGAGTCGGTCCTGATTTTGATTTTGTGCCTGTTGTGTTTTGTAGACTGCGCTCACGATTTTCATTTCGTTTCGTTCTTTCTTTTGCTTCGTCTCTGCTGGTTCTTTTTCCGTACTGTTCGCTTACACAACTCACACGTGTCGCAGGGCCTCTCGCGCCAGACCTCGCTCGTCGAAGACCGGCTCGAGTCCTCCGATGACGACGAGTACCAGGACGAACGCGCAGGTATGTTGTCAGCCTCCTACGACCACATCCACCTACTCGCACGCTTGCCCGGCATGTTGCGCATCCGTTCCCTGCACGATGCATGGAAGACCAATAGCTTGCGAGTGCCCCGAACCAAGTTTTACGTCAGTAACCCACACACCAGCACCACCACGCTCAACAGCAGCACACACAGACCCCACAAGGACAAAGGCCGTTCAACGGTCGAGGTGCCAGACACTGCAACCAACCCCCCGCACACTTTCGCTCAGGTAAACATCTGCGAACGGCATTCCCTGCCTCACACCTCCCAGCAGCAACCCGATCTTGTGCGCGATCTGCTACAACAGACAGGGGGTCCTTCACATAGCCCACCGCACCACAGCAGGCTTCGTCAGTATTTCCACTGGCCCAGCCTCAAGTCACGTCTTTGGCAACGTGACCAGCGCCGCAATTGCAATTCGCTGCACCCCCACTTCCACCTAAATGCGGCAGACCGCGTCCGCCCAGCTATCACGCCCATGCCAATCATTATAGTCGAGAACTATGACAGCTGTAATGTGCAGCCAGTGCGCACGGAGCTTATCCTGCCGCCCCAATGTGTGCAGCGGGCCTCCTTGGGCCACATTGTGACCGAAACGGGGACTGAGACTTCACAGAAGCACAGCTCCTGTGGCTACTTCAGCCGTCGTTGGCGAGTGCTGCGGCGCAAGTCCCCCAAAGCAACGACTCCAACCAAAACCCACACAAGTAGCCACCACTCTACCGAAACAAACACGGCCACATGCAATAATTGCGTGACGCAGTGACACACAACACGAACTGCTAAACACACCCACAATTCTTTTAATGCTGCTCTTCCAGCACCGAGCTGTATCAGAACTAGTATCAGAACTATGTTGGCTTTACATCGAAACTAAAAACAATCATTTCCTGAGCTTGCAATTTCCCAGCAAAAACACCAAGTTCGTTTTGAATCTCTAATATACTTACATTTTAGGAAGTAGCATACAGCTTAAAGTTTTTAATTCTAAATAGAATTGAGCTTTATCAGCTACAGCAATAGATTATAGAATTTTTTTCCAAAGTTCAAAAGGTAGTGTCTCTAAAATATAAACATTTGTTTGTGCATCTTTTATTGCAAGAAAAATAAATAGCTAAATAATGCAAAACGTGTATTTTGAAAAAGGTTTCAATAATTAAATTATATTTAATTTTAATATTCCAAAAGATTTTTACCCTTTAATTACTACAATTAGTAACAGAATGTTTTGCGTAATGTTTTGCCTCAAAAATGAATGAATGAACATTATCGATGTTGAGACGTATTATTAAAAGCCACTTAACAAAAATTGAAAAAGAAATTTTGTAATTAAAAAAGTTGCTTTACTTACTTTAATTTCGGAATATGTACTTTAAACGAAATGGATGTTCTATGATTGCTCTAAAATGGACCATAAATTATTGAAGAGCCAAAGATGTCCATTTATTTACATCTGTTTTGTGGACAATAATTGTTTAGGCAACAGCTGTTAAGACGTGTGTAGACATCAGATGTGTAGACATCAGATGTGTAGATATCAGATGTGTAGACATCAGATGTGTAGACATCAAAATGTGTAGACATCAGATGTGTAGACATCAGATGTGTAGACATCAGATGTGTAAGGAATCTGACGCTTAGCTTTCTGACTGTTAAAAAATATGAATTATTTTCATGAACACCAATAATCTTGTGGCTTTACCTCTCATAAAATCTCAAAAGAAAGATTAAAATAACATCCAGCATTGTTGTTGAAAATATATAACAACTATAAATACAAGCAACTACATAGTTCTATACTAACTGACACAGCTCGGCGATGTACTATACGTTTGTTTTTATCCTGTTTGTTATTGCCGTTTGTTTTTATCGCTATGCAATCTGCACTGTAGAATTTGATGGTTGAATAAAGTTTATTATTATTTCATTTGTATGCATATGCAATTTATTTGTTTATTTATTTACTATTTATAATTGACTGCCATAGTTACCATGAATTGGGCAGGTAAGTCGCAACGGAAGCAAATAAGCCATCAACAATATTTGTCATATTGCACATTTTACGCATATTGTTAAAAGTTTCTCCTAAATACATACAGACTACGAGTACATACATACTATACTACACTACATGCGCATATAGTATAATCCCGATCAATAAACTTCCGCGCGATTAACTCAGTAATCAAGCAAAACAGGCAATGTATAGCACCGCGTATTCGCACTCATTTGCAGGGAAATGCGATGAATGTAATCGGGCAATTTAAATTAATTAAAAAGCAATCAAATATTTCGCTTCTGGCCACACATAATACAAGTATATGCACGCACGTGTATATAGTATAGTATATAGATGTTTTAATGGCTACGGGCACACAGTAGCGGTAAATAGCACATTCACATCGATCCGTTCACGGGCAAAATTGAGTTAATATTCCTGTTCCTGTCACGGCTATTTTAAACGAACTTATTGGCAAATCATCGTTGGGAAATCATATTCATGTACATATCCTGGGACTTCCATCGATTTGATGCATTCAACCATCATAAAATAATTGTCATGACTAATTCTGTGGCACAGACATTTTCCATTTCTCTGAGGTAAGCAGTCCGTATTGAAATCCTCAACTCTTCCAACTCAGGCATGTTTTCCACTACGTTTGGTAACCCCCCTATGAATTGATTAAATCATGACTATTTCATGACACATGTAAATGCCATTTGCTATGTTTCCTACACATTTTCTTCCCCGCCTGATTGAATCGAATCAAGTTTTTGTGCTCTCGATGTGTATATTGAATTTTTCCAAATTTGTTGTTGCATTTTCGCAAAATGTTGAGAAAGAAGTCGAATTTTTGTACTTAATTCTACTATATCTATTTTAACATATCGTTCGAATTTATTTGCAACGTATCGTAAATGCCAAATGAAATGAATTTAATTTTTTCCGTTTCGATCACCAAATGAACCCAACCAAAACCAAAAATCAAACCAATGAACCAACCAGTCACTGCGCACAGTTCGAAAACCAGTTCCCGCAGCTCCTTGCAACAAATAAACGCCCCACAACAACAACAATACCCCAGCAGCAACAGCAATGATAAATAAATCGTCAAAGAAATACAACCTAGTATTACAAATAACCTAAACTATTACCACTCGACCTGAAAAAACACCACTCAAAGAAAAAATAAATAATTACTTAAATTTAACAATCTACGCATATTTGCACGGCTCGGTCTTCCTCGATTTATATGCAAATCGAAATGTTGGCTAGGATACCCGGTAATGCAGTTTCAACACCTTTCACTGCACTAAGTACCGAAACGCGACCAAGAATTGAAATCTAACTAACGTACCTAATCGTAAAATTTTTAATTTTAGACGAGTTTGATGATTTCTTTTAGAGAGATGCGTCAATTTATACCAATTATTATCCTTCGAATTCAATTAGTAAGAATTTCAAAGATACAGGCATACCTCACTTGAAAAGCTGAACAACTCTTGAAAGTATTTACGAAAGAAATCACCGTATTTAAATAAACCAATTATTACATACATATATTTATGCAAAATACTCAACAAAAAATAAAGAAAAAGAAAAAACAGGTTACAAAACATAAGTAAACTTCTTAGAATGTAACTATTTGTTGCCCACGCCAAAAGGAGAATCTAGAGCACATATTTTGACAAACACTCTGGAATTGTGCAAGTAAGTAGCACAGATATAATACTACTATATACTTAGTATGCAAAACAATAAGTAGCCAAGAATTTATGATTATTATGTAGCAATTGCTTCCTCAAATGTATTTGACTCAATTTTTTTTATTATTTATTATTCTTAGCGAATTTGAACTCAGCTCGTAAATTAATTCCGTGAGCTTTGTTTCCATTAATTTCTCACATGCAACCAATTATCTAATCAATAATATTAGCTAAGTAGCAACATTTTCGTAGAACCCACAAAAAATCAATTCTTGCATAAATAAATTTTGTTGTTAGAGCCAACATATTAGCTTTTCTATATACTATATAGCCTAGAAATATTTTCTAAATTTTGCTTAAACCAATATCTTTTGCATTCTTCACTCGAAGCGCATTCAATTTTAACTTTCTAGCTTAAAATTTCTTTCCTCTACGCATACAGATCACTTCGCTACAGGAGGAGGAGGATATCACAAAGGATAAGCCATGAGGTAACTTCAAAAAGAAAAATAACCACTTTTAGCGGCTTAGTAGGCAATGGTTTTAAATAAAAACAGTCCCGATACTAGATCCGTTTTCATTGCAAATTAAATAAATTAAAAGCAGCGAAAGCGAAGAGTAAAACAAAATCAGTAAGCCGTTGTCAATTCCAAGCGTTCTCATTTTAATAAGCTCAAACACACTTGGGAGAGACGAAATGGAAACAAACATTTGGAGCAGGAACAAATGGTAAACTGTTAGTGCGAGGAACGTGGGGAAATGAAAATTCGGAGACCTTTCAAAGAGAGGGAATTAAGAGCTTATGTGGTTGGTATGTTTTTGATAGAAGTGGAAACGGCACGGCATATAGTCGAGTAAAACTCAATTTCCCTTAGTCCTGTAAGAATCCATTTTAAATGTGCATTGTATGTGTTTCGGGTATTGGCCATGTAGTCTATAAAATAATAAAAAACCACCGTCTCAGACTTTATAGAACTTACAATAAAAGCTCCACTTGGACGTTTTAATGTTGTAGATTGTTTTCCGTATACCGCAAAGTAAATATTAATACTATATAGATGCTAATAGAAAAACCAAAAATGTACACTATTAAGGGCTGGTCTTTCAATTATACGGAAACTTTAGCTGGCACCAGAGATCTATTTATGTCAGTCAGCTAAAGTGCGTGTTTAGATTGAGAAACGTGCCCTTAATTATACAACAACTGAGGGGTTAAAAGCGTAACTATGCTTAAAAACTGTATTGTCATAATAGCAACAAAAATGCTGAACCGTATGCAACATAAAGCGCCATTCAATTTTTATTAAATCGAAGTGCTCATTTATCAATTTGTGAGCTTCGAATATATACACAGATTTGCTCCTCATGAATAACCTGCAACCTGCATTCCACATATAGCTGTAAATATTACGCATACGCTCTGTTGTATTCAGTTGCGCGTAGGTCCTACGTTCTAAAAATAAAATTTCTCAAAATTCCTGTTAGCACATATCTATTGAGGACATTAGTTTTATTGTATTAAGCAATTGGTTACACAAAACATTTAGGATAAAAGTGAAATAAAATACATAATAATAAGTTATCAGAATCTATTTCAAATGCACTCTTGTTTGCACACACGAGATAACTTCAATAACTCTCTGACAATCAGAAATTCTTGTTTAGAACAAAACAAAGTGAAAGGGAAAGAAGTGGTGGAGAAAAGAAAAAGATATTTCTACAAAATTTCTACACATGCTGCATGTGAACTTATTTAACCTAACCTAAGGCCAAGCATTTCAGTAGGAGTAATGAATTTTCTTAATGTTAGCCCTAAGCATATTAAATACACATAAACCCCACTACATGCACACACTTATACACACAAGGAAATTGTTTATGTATGAAAATTAGCAAAACAAAAATATTAATTAAGACAAACAAACAGGAGGAAAAACACCCACCCTCATCTCCGGGCCTCCTCAATACACCCCCTAGTGTGCACATCTTGCATTCAGCTTAGTTTTGTTTGTCCAAATTTGATGTGTATATGTATAAGTGTAGCTAAGTTAAGGGAAAATGTGCACAGAAAATTATATGTTATAAATTATAATTAAATTTGCCCTTCTGCATACATGCAATATGTATTTATATGTAAGTGTACATGTATATGTGTTATGGTAATGTCCCTGTGCTTATAGTTGGTGATATGAAACTCTCGAAAGTGAAGGCTAAACTATGGATATGGATATACCTACTAAATGTACTATTAATTAATACTGTCTATGATCTATGTCTATTACAAATAAAACTAAACTTTACTGCAAAACAAAAACTTCCGTCTAATGATAAAACTGTCAACGATAATGCTGACTCGAACAAGGTGGGTAAGCAAAAAATTAATTAGTCATTCGACCACCCAACATTAATCTGATTAGAGTAAAACGTGCAGTCAAACATTGTATATAACAAACACACAAAAAATTTTTTTAGGCTTGCAACAAATAATTTGCGCAGCGAGGAAAATAGCTGGAGAACTGCAAATCTGTTTACGTAGAGTGCCAGTAGTTGGGCTGCAGCATTGTCCAAGACCTATTTATCCTATTGTCAAGAAATATTTATTAACAGGCCGAAAAAAGCTAATGTTGGTCCATAGGGGAATAGTGAATTGTCGAAAAACTGGATTATCTAATATTATATATCAGATTTGGACTGAAATTTAAAAAGGCAATAAGAATATATATAAATTTTGTTGTTTAAATTTTGTTGAAAGTATATTTTAAATATTTCTAAAGCAAACTTTAGATGTTGCAATTTTAAATACTCCACATATTGACAAAGGTACAAATAGAATCAGTTGTTGCGCTTCTAATCCCACCTGTATTTACACAATTTCAGCAACGAATTAATTTTCGATGTCCGACTGTATATATTGTGTGGAAAATTCGTGACATCGACCGAATGCCATTAATTTTGGCAAATAACGCGGCAATGTATGCATAAGTATGTCGCAAAAGCAACATGTCGGCATCATTTAATTATGTATTTGGCTTGGACGCTCGTAAGCCACTTCCCCCCCCCCCCCCCGATCCCCTCTCCGACACAATCTCTGCCCTTTCTCCCCACTCTTTTGATTATTTGTGGTTGGGTTGTTTGTATGCAGCTTGTTGTCATTATGACACCATTCTCAATGTGAATGTCAAACAAAAGCCAACGGCTACGACAACATCGGTAGCTACGGCATCAGCAGCCAGAATACAGCAGCAACAACAACAATAGGCAAATGGCAACATCAGCAGAGTAAACCGCAGACGCAGCCATTTTGTTTGCACTGCCTAATGAGAAAAGTTTGCGGAAAACATTGACAATGAATGCGTTGTGCGGCTGAAGTCGAGGCCTGAAAGCTTAGGGTTAGGTTGTACATGAATGACTGACATTGGGGGCTGACACCCACATGACCCACTTTTGTGGGATTTACTCGGCATGCACAATAAAAGGAGAATCATTATGCTTTATACACAATATCTGTCTATTGTTATTCAAACGTTTGCGGCTGCTATAACTTTTGTTCGACAAACCGAACAAAGTCTTACAGCGCAGATGTTAGGACGCGACCTTGATCCCCCTTATCATACTTGCATGCGGGAGTATTTAACTTAAAAAAAGATGTAAGTGTGCACAAATATAATGGCACGAAACGCTGATAGTCAAGGACAACCGGTTTGTGAATTTCTTCTTTATTTCTACAATTTAATTACAAGAATCGAAAACCATCACGAGCTTAGAGACGAAAAAAAACCGCTGACTTCCGCACAGTTTTGGTTTTATTTTGATCGCGCAACCCTTTTTCTCTCAATTCTTTTACAATTTCCCTTTTTGCCACAGGCCGCAAGCTGCCTCCTCTAATTACTTTTGTTTTTCGGCTGGCGGCGACAGCGGCAACCGCAACGTGAAAGCATAGCAATTGACGCTTTGCTTTTACTTGACTTTCATGCCTCGGGGCGACCGGACGAAAGTGCGAGAGCAAGAGAAAACCGTTAGGCTACCGCAATTGATGAATTGCTTTGTGTGTGCGCCTCGCTTCACTGAGTCCGCCAAGTGCTCTTTGTATTTATTGAACCGCAAGTAAATGAAGTGCACGGCCTCCTCAAAGTGATTGAGCCGAACCCCGAAATGAGCCAAAATACAGAACAAAGAAAGGATGCAAGGAGAAATGACAGTCGTAAAAAGTTTAAAAAAACACACAGAATATCTCAAATAAGGAATGGAAAAACTTTAAAACTGCGCGCTTTCAGCTTAAATTCAAGCAGCCCAGAAGTATGCAACGTTTTTCGTTCCATTTCGTAAGGATATTGTATGTACATACATTTATACGCACACTAGTACACACAGATATAAAGCATCCCTGCAAACAAGCCGAGGAGCATTGTTATTATTATTTGATATTGATTTGGATGAGTTACGTCGAAAAAAACTTGAAGACTAAATTGAAGGAAACAGAAAAAATGCTCACCAATTAGGAACATTTTCAAGCTCAAGCTCACATTGATTAATTATCATAAATAAACAAAAAACTTACATCTTATTTTTAATAAATGACCTTCTAAAATGTGGAGAACCAATTGTGATTGCATTTGAAAATTTGTAAACAATTTTATAAATATTTATATATATAACTGACGAATACACTTTTACACTATTTATCTACAGATACCATATCATACTTAAAAATTAAATGACTTTAAAACGTTTATCTTCGTTTAGTGATATCAAATGATTTCAGGGATCCCCTCCAACTCGTAACTCAGCAGCCTTGTGCTGCTGTCATTTGTGCGGAAGACAGGGCACACAGCATCTTGAGGAAAATGCCTGTGACATCAAGATAACAAATTGCCACAGCCACACGTGCCATACGTATTTACAGTGCAGGTGGATGATATGCACGAATACCTAAGTAAATGCAGGGTACGACACACACAGGACACACATCCAGCTCCTCTGCATATTTGTGCTCGCTGAAGTAGTTTTATGTCACTTGCAATTTGAAAATAAACGACATGTGTGTGTCTCCCAAAGCCGTTTGCACTACAATTACGTGATATTAATTTTCAAAATAAAAGAGGAAATGAAAAATAATTATAGTAGAAAATGTTCTTCCAAGACGTTGCTAAACTATAAGCATTACAGCTTCAGTGAGGCCCAAAACTAGCGCACGATAATGTTGTGGATAAATCAGCTGGAGCATCTAACAAGCGATTTAATACCAACTAAAGTTATGCCAAACTTTTTGCTTTTAGCGGCAGAAGAGAATTTGGCACATTTATAGTAACACAAAAAAAGCAGCAAGTTGACAAAAGTTGTTAAACTACAGCTAAGTAAGGCAAAGAAACTGTAGATTAAGCTACTTGAACATGCCCGCGGCATGATTTACATCAACGCCAGGCACACAAAGGATAATAAAAAATAAAAAAATCCCCTTCAGACTCGCACAGTCACGTAAAAACAGCAACGCCAGTGGCTGAAACAAAAGCTCTAGCGATTTTATCTCTCTAAATGGAGGCAGCCATACACAATTTTGTTGAAAAAACACGTTTTAGTGCAAAAGCCAGCAGTGGAAACGCATTAGATGCGCGTCTATTTTGATTACTCCCACAACTGAACGAACAAATTTGCCTGCCTTCCTGCCTGCCTAGCTGCCTGGAAAATGGGTGGTAACGGATTTAGACTTTATTCTGGCCCTTGCTTTACAAGTTTCAATTATGAATTCGTTGCGAAGCTACGGCAAAACAAACACATAAAACTACTTGGAAAGTGCAATCCCCAATAGGGTCAACCGTTGACGTCTCCACGGACAGAGCCAATGTTGCAATCAGCTAAAAGCATTGAATAATGCATTGAACGGATGACGTGCTCTCATCTTTGGTTATCGCATGGCGCGAAACGCTTGTCCATTCGACTCCAACCAAGGCACTGCCAACAACTGATATCGAAAAGCAATTTCCGTTATGGCTATAGTGTCCCCATCCCTATTGTGCGGATAGAACGAACGCGAGCGCAATTTCCTACTCTGGACAAACACAATTGGGGCTACACCACGGAGATCAGTATTTGAAAAGGTTGACAAACAATTATTAGGTGTCCTGCACACCGTATTGGAATCAATGTTATTAGAAAGAAGCACAATTCCCAGGTGACTTACAAATCGTGTTTTACTTGAACACGCTTTCAAATACTAGCTCCAATTTTGTTCGACAATTTGTAAAATAAAACAAGAGAGAACGCTACAGTCGAGCAAGCCCGACAGTGTAATACCGTGTACCCAGGTAAACTTCCGTCACTGAGTTATAGCGCCCATAGCAGCAGCAAAAAGAGGAAGAAGAAGAGCGAACTTGTTGCTGCAGTTTGTGGGGGTTGCACTGGCGAGAATTTGTTTTGCTAATAACTTTTCTTAGAATTGACCGAATTGAATAAAATTTCGAACAACAGTAGATATGAATATGAATTATGTGTGCAAAGTTTGATTTAGGTAGCATTTGAAATGTGGACGCTATTGACGAAATAAATAAATAAATTCTGTAGAGGGGGAAGAAGTGGAAAATTAAAAAAAATAAAATAAACTCGTCCTTTCTCGGACCTAGGAGAATCTGGATGCCAACTTTGGTTATTCTAGCTTTTATAGTTTCTGAGATCCTTGCGTTCATCCAGACGGACGGACATGTCTAGATCGATTTCTCTCGTCATGCTGATTCAGAATATATATACTTTACATGGTCGGAGATGCTTCCTTCTGCATGTTACATACTTTGCAGAAACCTAATATACCCTTTTTACCCTACGTGTACAGGGTATAACAAGAAAGGAATGCTAAAGTCGAGCGGGCTCAATTCTTAAATACCCTGTACCACACCACAAACAAAATTTTATTAATTGAATTAAATTTATAGGAATCTTTGTTGTCGCACTAAATAAATATAAAATATTCAACACATATTCTACATACTTAGGTGCTTGTGGAATTTAAACAGCATATATCAGAGAAAAGAATTTTCACGGGCGTACGCAAATACACATTTTCTGCGTACTCACATAAGAAATCTTGGAATAAAATTTGGTGTCCCTAGGTCTTACAGTCTCTGAGATATAGGTGATTATACGAACGGCGTTACGGAAAAACCCCATTATCGGAGGAGTCCAAAGTCCAAAAAGCGTTCATTTATATGAATGTGTGTATGGGTGTGTATCTGTACAGTACAGAGAGAGCTGCTGGCGAAACATTGGCAGATATTGCATTTATGACTATAATTATTAATCGCAAATTCTTTAATTCTGCAAAAA